TCTCTCTCTCTCTCTCGTCTCTGAACTACGTGTCGTTCCTCTCTGCAGGTGCCTTCATGGCCGCGTCATGGATCTCGCCGCCGTGGGCTGCTTGCTCCTCCTCGGACGGCCTGCCTCGCCCACGTCCAGGTCTAACTCGTGGGACGATGACGATGCTGCCACCATCGCGAATCTCTACGGCAGACTGTGACCGTGGCCGTGGCGCGACGAGCGACGAGCTCCGCAAGGGCATGCCCTGGAGCGAGGAGGAGCACAGGTTGTAATCTCTGACGACCTGTTCTCTGATTCTCATGCCCCTCCCGATTTTGACATAAAGATTCCTGCTAGAGTAGCAGGATGGTGCTACACTGATCCTTAAGACCTCAAATTTATGCAATTTCCTTTTTTTTATCATGTGGATGTCAACAAAAAGGGACCCGTGTTATATTGTCATGCGCCGGATTCAACTGTTTGCATCGAAGTTGTTTGGATTCACCAGGAGGAAGCGGTCAGTCGTTTTTCGTCCACATCCAATGGACTACAATTTCGGATTAGTTTTTGTTTTTGCAGCAATTCGAAACTGCAGAACACATGTTCTTCTTCCCCCAACCTACACAGTCAATAGTAATAGTTTTTATGATGATGCATGAGCCAGTACTATGGCTCAATTTGATATGCTATTTGGATAAATACACTTTTGTGGAATTGTGCGAACTTCTCTTCATGTTGTTTACAGGCAGCCAAAGTTACACATCCAGCCATGACGACTACATGTAATTGTTTGTACATAAGCCTCAGCTCAAGATAAGGTTGATGGAAGTACTTTCTATATATGTTCTCCCCATTTAATATTTTTTTGATAAGTTCTATGGGATAGCTGGAGCAATGTTTGTTTTATTTATAATGTGTACATCTATGTATCATAACTTGTTGCTGCATGCCTATCAAGTATTAGATGCATTCACCTGAGATTAGTAATGATGTTAAGTCCTCCTAGATTAATCTCATATATACATTTGCAGGTTGTGCTTTACGATCCTAATGAGGGATTCGACAAGAAATATTTTCCAATCGGGAGAGGTTTCGTATCAGTTATATGAGAAGTGCAATATTTGGTACGTGTTTTTCTTGCTTATGTTTTCAACCATTGTATCATCTAGCAATTAACCTCTTTTCCAAAAACTACCGCACTTTCATTGAAAAAAGAACAATTGTACTTGATGGACAACAATGGATGTAGGCTAGCAAAATAGACGTGATCTATTTTCGCCTTTTTAAAATATCTTCAGAATTGTACACTCACTCACCATATTACTCTTCTGATCTCCATAGAGGATTATGTTTGTGAGCATGTTAATTGCAGTCTTCTATTTATGAAGTAGCCATTCATTGGTCCATGTTTTGCTGATCGACTCAGACAAAGTATACAGTTTGCTTGAATTTATACTGTGATATGAAGCCAGGATAAGTTTTAATCAATGGCAATTAAAAGTTTTGTTTGAATTGCTGAAGATCTGAAGAATCCACTCACCTAGAGATCTTTTTAGTTGGTATGTATACATGTCTAATTTCTGAAGGTTTGAGTATATTGGACAAGACCTATATAGGCTAACACTTGGTGTGTGCTTCCTACCGATGCTGACTGGGCAGATCTGATATTGTTTGCAACTGGTGTCTAAGTTAATATGCAGTCTTTCCAGTGATTTTGGATATGCATAGAGATTGCTTTAGTGAGCATGGACACATATTTCTTAGTTACTACCTTCCTGTGCTCGCAAACCTTACCCACCTCATTTCTTAATAGATTGATGAACATCAAGTTCCCAGCCTTTTCTCCGTTGAATAAATGGAGAACAAAAAAAATGAAGTTTTTGTCTGCCAAATGGTCATTTGGCTACACCATTTATTCAGGTTATGAGCCTGCTGAAATGGATGTTAGCTACTGGTTAGGAAAGAATTAGTTCTTGGTCGTTTTCTGGCCTTGCGTAGTTCAACTGTTTCCACTGTTCCCTTTTGTTTTGGGGTGTTGGCCAGTCATTTCTTTGTCGTACTTTGGCGCTTTGGCCCTTCTGTTATTCTATGAAGTTTACATGCAGCTCTCCAGTATGGTTTCAGATTATCCTGGTTCCAGGTTAAGATTGTTTGTAGAGTAATCATACATCAATAGTGTATGTGCGGTCTGTATAAAATGGATAGGCGTAGGTTTTCTTAACCAACTTGCTGCGCATTATTGGTTCCAGCTGAAATATATTTTTCCTGCATCTTACACCAAGGGAGATTCAGGGGAAAAAGTGAGGTGCATAACTATAACAACAAGTCAGGCAAGATACCGGTGGTGTAGGCTTCAACATTCAGTCGTTGTGGCCACAATGCACTTTTATTTCATAATATACCCTGCATGTTTTATATTTGAGAGGGAATTAGATTTAGCCTAGCCGTGCCATCCATTCCAGATGCTAATAAATTGTGTAACTACCTAAGTTCCTTTTTGACTGCAGAAATAGCATCGACTGCAAAGATGGAGTATGTTTTACATGTTTTTTTGTTGTTGAAAAAAGTATGCTTTTCATCTTAACCATACACTCGACAAAAAATGCTATTTTGCCAAAGAATTTCTTGTTAGCTGTGGTATTTAAGCTCAGAGTTACTAACTCAATGAGGTGTATTATAAATTTGGAGGTACTCATTTTTTCCACATATAGAAATGTATTTGACACCTCTGAGCATCTACGGATCTTGCAATTGGTAGATAGCATTTGCCTTTTGAAAATTTTCTTTGAGACCATGTGAGTCCGAAGATAAATTGTTTAATAGTGAATGTTGTTATATTTATGCAAGTTGGATGCTTTGGTGGCGATGGTGGTCGGGGGCTCCGATGCGGAGGCCCGCAAGGGGGAAACGGAAGGTGGCGGAGAAAGGAAGGTCATGGCCAGGAAGCAAGTTAGGCGCCACCGTATGGACAGGAAAGAGGGCGCTCGGAGGTACCTAGGAAATCGGGAGGGGCTGAGCAAGACGGCCAAGGGTGTCACCAAGGTTTTCGGCGTCTAGCCGTCCACTCCTTGAGGTATATTCCTGTTTTTTTACATGAACCACCATCTCCAAATCTCCATGTCCACGCCCATAGTTTTGATCCATTTCACTATTTTGATCCATGGCCTCCATGTTGTTCATCTCCCAACTGCTGATGGGATGTGCCTTGATCTACCTCTCGACTAGAACCACAATTAGTCATTGGGTCAATCACAGAACCTATCAGCAGGACATTATTTCCTCTACCTGTACTTGATGTGTTAGTTGTAATGCAAATTAGGATCAACACTAATACAATATCTATGTGATTAATTCTAGAATTTGTATACTGATTTTGCAGGATCATTTTGACAATATATTATTTCTATTTAACTCTTTAATGTCTTGGTGTACATCTTTGTTTTCATTCTCTATAGTGGGCAACAATATGCTCTATGTGCATAAACACTTATAAATTTGAGTTGGTACGTTGTGTTTCAGTGTACTATATAATCTCATTTGCTCTTTTGATAGATTTCACATTTTGTCGACTTGTACTTTATCTGTTATTGTTTTCAGCCCATTAGAACAAAGGATTTATGTTGGTCCCATGTAACTGCATTCTTATCTGATCATTCAATTGTCTTTTTTTCCTATTTTTTGTATATTGGGCGATGCACTTTGTGTAGAACTAAAGATTAAGAGGAAGAGAAACATTAGGCGCAGGTCAACAAGTTTCGTTATGGATCTGATCATGCAATTGTCCTTTTTTCCCCTGTTTTGCTGTAGATTGATAGATGAGCTTTTTATAGAATTGAAGATTAAGAGGAAGAGAAACATTAGACACTTCAGAAAGTTTCGTTATGGAGGCAAAACTAATTTGTTGGTTCATATAGGAGATTGGATGACTATTGTAATATGAGTGTTGACAAGCTGAAGAAGATGGCCGGTGCCCTGTGCCGGAGGCAAGGGCAGCGTGCACATGTGCTTTCTATGGTACCCTGTCATCCATAGGTAGTGTCATTGGTTTTGCTGCAAGCAGTAGCATTTCCCGCTTTCAACACATTATGTGTTCTACATGTATTCATTTTACCTGTGTAAATAGTTTGTCTCAGACCTGAAATATTTCCTCATAATCAGTAATTTGTGGGCCTTGTAAACCATTGCTTATACCCTGTGTAGAAATGACAAATTTGAAGCGTGCTAGCTATGCATACTGATTATCATCCAAGCATGCTATTGTCACATTTTGAAATTGATCTTTCAGTGAATGCCATTTAGTGTACGCATATCAGCTTAGAGTACAGAAATATGAAACCTTTGT